AGCTCAAGGTGAAGCAAGGTGAGTTACAAAACGCTATTATATTAAAAATGGAATTGTAATGAGGAATTGGAGGCCTCCTCACAAATCTAGGATGATGATAGGATGGTGGCTCACCAGATAGTGATACCATCCAAATATCATCAAGAGATATTAAAAGTTTGTAACAAAATTCCTGAAGCAGGACATGAGAGGATCCAGAAGACTCAAGTATGTATATGCCAACATTTTTTACTAGCTAGGTCTTCAGGTTTTATTTTAAGACTAATATAGACAAAGCACATGATTATCGAAATCAGGAACTGGGTAAGATGTTAAATTATTTGTTGTGACCCTTGGTGTAGCGTGGCTAAATGACTGTAGCATTCTCCTCCCATTTCAGTCATAACATGGACACCAAATTAACACTGTGTACTGATCGATGCCATGATCTGCCTGCCCTGCATTCTTCCAGCGTCTGCTCAATGTCTGCATGTTGACACACTCATCAACGTGATCTGGAAGTGAGGATGTGCATGAGACATTGGAGGTTTAAGAACATCCAGATGGTGGATGTTACCAATCTTAATTTCATACTAAATGTTTTGAACACCATGACCACTTTTACTGTTTTTACAAAATGCAACTCAGACAAGTTAATGATCAGAGCTACAGCTAAACTGTTGAAAATACCAAAAATTTAGCTTGGTGCTTTTAAAGTTATGATCTAACACAGAAATTATTAGAAAGTATTTGTGCTTGTTCACAAAACAATATTCATTGCTCTTCAAAATAATTTATTGGATATGAAGCACTTTTGGGATAATTCTGAGAGATGTGGTAAAGTGCTGTATAAATGCCATTTTTTTAAAATACAATATACAGAAAGTTCACAACATGCTGATTTTTATTAGAAACCTGTGTGATGAATAATAGTCACTAATGTGGTTTGGTCAAAATCTAATAAAAAGTTATGTATATTATTGAACCAACAAGTCGATGCATGTAAAGTAGTGGTAGACAGGCAACATTAGTGAGAGTGATGTAGGGAATAAGAAAATGCAATCTCTTATTAAATGGAATCAAACAGTGAGCCAACATTATCATTACATTTACAGTTTGAAAAGTCCTTAATGCTTACAACAAATGTCAAGTTGGAATCTTACAGCAAGGTGCACAACAGAGGGTAGAATTTAAGGCACTTTTACTTGTTGATAAAAGAGAGAATGCAGACCTTCTTGTGGAAAGTGCCAAAGGGCTGATAGCTGTTATCATTTACTGTATTTGACAGAAGAATCCACTTGGTTTTGGTGTGCAGAATGCATTTTAAGTTCAGGAGGGCATGCACTTAATGTTCATATTATATAAATTGATGACCAGTTACTAACAGAGCAATGCAGGTTTAACCCTAGCCAAATGCAAAAGTGCATTTTATTGTTTTTTAACTACCAGGGAGTATGTAAGGAGTTAGTCCGTTTATTTTAAAGTGGTTAATGCATCTATTCAGGTTCTGAAGACAGGAACATTAAATGAGTGTGTTAACATTTATTCCCTGTTTACTCTATTGGTCAACTTCAGAGCCATGGTATTAAGTTCTGCACTGTTCATGAATGAACATGATTCAACTCTTGGTACTTCAGTTACCTAGTTTTAAGAATAAAACATTAAATCACAAAGTTAAGATGAGATTGCCACAGTAAACTGTGCAGCTCAGCTGCTGATCATAAATTACATTAAATTATATATTATAATACTGAGGCAGAAATTAGAAAATGTGTTTTTAGCCAACAGCAGTGCAATAATTATATATGACAGTTTAGCACTGATTTAGATGGTTTAGGTTTCTCTTTAAATACCAGCACCTTTGAAGGAACTTAGATTAACAGCTTTTTTAAAAAAAATACAATTCAAGTGAGGATCGCAAGTATTGAAAACATAAATTCTACCAAATTACACAAAAAAGTGATAAAATTAGTGCTAACTTTAGTATTGTATCTCATTTCCAATTTACATCAGTAACATTAAGACACCTTTTACTAAATCCTAGCTCCTGCTTCATTATTTCAGTAAAACTTAAGGCCTCTGCAAGCTGAAACTGCCAAAATTTGTCAATTATAGAACAATTCATTAATTAAAAATGAATGCACAGTGTGCTAGAATTATAAATCTTGACCTCCCTCAGTTATTTTACTGATGACCAAATGTATATATTCAGTGGAATTTGTGCAGGAATTCACTGTTCTCCTGCCAGCATTATGGATCATCAAGAAAATTCCCATGAAAATTCCAGGTGATGAGCCCTATTTTAGGGCTATGATATATTATGCAGAATTAAGATAGTTTCCTGGGTATTGGTTTAATGGTTAAAGGAACTGTTTTGGAATGACATGCAGAGTTCTTCTTCAATTGGTTTCCTGGATACTACGCAAAATTATTCATTGTTAGAACTTGGACAGCGTTTTAAAATTTATACTAAGCTATTGCACATTAAAAGACAGTGGTAGAGATCCGTATGTACATGGACATCAATAATCATTTAACCTGCACTAGTATTTTAATGTATCAGTATTTCAGTACTCATTAATGGAGCAATTTACTGTGAAGCTCTGTTCTTTGGGACTCAGACAGTTTATTCAATAGTTAAGTCAATGTGTCACTTTTGTTTCACATTAAAGTTTCTCATCCAGAGCGTATTCTGTGTCCTTGCTATAAACAGTGCTTCTTCCAAGTGATTTTCAACATACAAAATTACTAATTCATCAGTGGAGGGAAGGTAGTAGATGATAAGTAGCAAATTTCCTTACATAAATTTTATTTGATGCTGTTAGACTTCAGGGAATCCAGAGTGAATACTGAGGACATACCAAATATATCAGATAGTCCAGTAACTCCAGTATTTGTGCACTGGACATATGCCCAATATGGAGTTTCACTCCAATTTTGACTATGATTTAGACATGACTACTGCCATGTCTGAATTGTCAAGATTCTTGGTATCTCCATCTTATGTGAAGTCAGCAGGAAGACCTATCCTGTAGAGGAAAATTCATTCCTCCTGAAGTAACTTCAATCAAATTCAATAAATTAATGGAACAACTGAATGAAGGCAGCAAGTAAGGATAATGCAAGTGGTAATTGGGGAAAATAAATAATTATTTAATTTTCTAATCCTACCTCTAACCAAACATTTATAATGCAAATAAATTAATTTATAATGCACCTTCGAAGGTGTATTTCTTATGCACCAGTATTCAGGAAAATATTCATGTTGCCAAAGTTTGGGCTAGGAATTATATACAATAGATTAAGAATTTTTACGAATGTCAACATTTTAGTTAGAAATGCTGTGGACAGGGTAGGGCTTCTGCCTACTATTTGTATTTACATTAATGCTGCCCAAATTGCAGAGAGAGAAGTATTTCATTGATGGAGTAGGAACTTACACCAATAACTGCACCAGGAATTATTTCTCACATTGATCCCTATTTGAATATGACACTGTGGGACCCTGTGCAGAAAGTATACCATCAACAGTGATGGTATGACAGGAGAATGAGTTGGGGAACATGGCCTCATTGCCAACAGAAATTGTCTTTACGGACATCTTTTATTCATTCATGGGATGAGGGCGTCGCTGGCAGGGGCAGCATTTATTGCCCATCCCTAATTGCCCAGAGGGCAGTTCAGAGTCAACCACATTACTGTGGGCTTGGAGTCACATGTAGGCCAGACCAGGTAAGGATGGCAGTTTTCTTCCTAAAGGACATTAGTGAACCAGATGGGTTTTTCCAACAATTGGCAATGGATTCATGGTCATCATTAGACTCTTAATTCTATTTATTGAATTCAAATTCCACCATCTGCTGTGACAGGATTCAAACCCAGGGTCTCCATATTAACAGTCTAGCAATAATACCACTAGGCCATTGGCTCCCCATAAAGAAGCAGAAATCTGGTTGAAACAGATCAAGATCCAAGTCACTGCTTCTATGCTTGCTCTGCATCCCCAAATATTTCTGCTACAATTTCAATTTAAGACCTGAATCCTTTACTATAACATATTAACAATCTGTTGTTGTGGAACATAATACAGTACCAGATTCAAAACCAATCTTCATTCTGTTCAAAAAAATATTGTTGGAAGCTCAAGCTATAAGGAAATGTTGCAGAAATGTGGCATTTATGTACTTCAATACAGATTAAGGTGTGATCTCAATGAGGTGGCGAAAATGTTAAAATAATTTGATAGGCTAGTTATGTATATTTTAACCCCTTAATATGGGAAATAAAGAACATAATCTGAAAATGACAGCTAAGCCATTTAGCAGTGCAATTGAGAAGCAATTTACTCAGAGGGGTGGGGGATATTTGGAGCTCTTCTCCAAATTTGCTGCAGATGTTGGGACGACTGGTGACTTCAGGCTGGGAAAAATAAGTTTTTATTAGCTCAAAAAAACAAGAAATTTGTAGCAAAGGGGCAAATATAGCTGAGATATAAATCAGCAATGATTTAACTGAATGGCAGAATATGCCTGAGGAGCTGAGTGGTCTACTGATCATACTACAATGATATATTTAAGTAAATGTTTGTGCTTAGTTTTATACTATGACATTTAGCTAATGATGTTAGCAAATCCGATGCTGCACATTTGCATTGTGCTCCTGATTTGGTGCTAGGGCCAAATCATATCCAAAAAATTAGAAACGACATCAACATTTCTAGTACTGTCTCCGGCTACATACTTACAAGTGGTGTATATGCATCACCTGAAAAATAATTGACAGAATTTTATATTGAATTTTATGTCAAGCTTAGTAATGGAAAACAAGGCTAAAACATTGGGTACTACAGCTGGAATTTTGTCTTCCACTTTCAATGGCTGCAATATTTCTTAGGAAATATCAACTGTTCCTCCCTGATTTCTACCCATATAAATTAGAGATTGTCAACTACATTGTTCCAGAGTCTTCCAGACTCACGCAGGAGCATTGATAAAATAATCAATAACTTAAAGAAACAAGCATTGCTAATATGAGGGTTTACAATGTCTTCTCAATATAATTCCTTTATTATTATTCTTAAAAGCAATCTGCAAAATAAATACTATTATAATCTAGTTGTCACATAATCACCCTGTGTCACAGTCCATTGAGTTGCACTGTCTTCATTCCCTGAATCATTTGACAGAGTATCCTCTGTTGTTTCTAATGCGTGAGCACTGGTGTTGCCATCTGGAGGCTGTTTTTGCGAAAGTACATGCATCTTTTCTTCTGTTTCTGGCTTCCATGTGCTATTCACTTTTAGGTCTTTTATGTCTGAGTCAGTCTCACTCACTACCATTTGGTCCAAGTCTCTCTTACCCTCACAGTTGCTTTCTTTGTTTCTGAGAAGGCCTTCCTCTTGGGTAATTTCCTCAGAAACTGTGTAAATCCTATTGCTGTTCTGCTCTGCATTGCATGTTTTTGTTCTTTTTCGAAAGAATCCCAAATTTTTGATTGAGTCTTTAACAACACTTTTATTGTTTTGCTTTTCCTTGGATATATCAGTTGCTTTAGGCGTGGACCCATTGCTCATGTTGTTACATGCTGCCGGAGTATCTGACAATTTCGACATTGTCTTCGGATAAACTAAAGATGTCAAATCATAGAAACTTAGCTTGTTCTTCTGTTCATTTGTACACGTTATTTTCTTCGTTGACACAGTCATGTGGTCATCTGTTCGATCCTCTACCTTAAAAACTTCATTTGGATCTGAAATCCGAGATGCTGTGCTGAAGGCAGTGGCCTGTTTACCAGGAAGTTTGTTTCCTTTCAGAAGACCCAAGACTTCATAGCGGAAACTAGAAATATCCTGTTTCAGCTCCTATAACCACAGCAAAAGTCATTTATTTTAAAGTACGCAATGATGCCAAAGCACAATATTTGCTAATATTCGCTAATATTTAATATTTCAACAACATGATCTAAAAATATCTGTTTGCCAATTAACATTAAAACTTCCTTATTAGCACTCATCTACTAGATTAGTAATAATCAAGAAAACTAGACGTTTCTCAACAACACTGGGCAGTCAGCGTGCAAATGAACTTCAGGTAATAGTAGAAATAACAATGTAAAAGGTCCTCTTTAGCAGTTTATACCTAATATATTTTTCCACAGTGACTGACTTCCTGAGGCATTACAGATATAATCTATATACATCCATCAGTTGCATAGACATATTTTTAACAATTCTAAATTGGTGATGCCATGCTAGTCAATTACTTTATAATTCAGATTACTGAAGATTTCTTACTTTCATTTCCAGTAGGTAAAAGGTAGACATGGTAACAGTCTGAACTAATAGCATTTCTGTTCTTGTTAGAGATTTTACAAACTTTTTTTCTGGTGCTATTATACCATAGTTTCCTTCAACTGCTGTCAATGTTGCCGACTTTTAAATTATTGCAGCCGTCACTGCAATTCTTTTTCCAAGTACTGCATTTGGCAAACAACAGTGAGAAATTTACCTTGAAATTCTCTTCAGTCAGCCCTTCTTCAGTTTTGGCATCTCTGATCATTGCAGCAACATACCTTTTTACCAAATTCCTTATAACTTCCTGGAAGACAAAACAGGCAAAATCAGAACCAGTTCACTTTACAAATCAAAAAAAAAAGCTCAATATCAGATTGTAAGCACTTTTCAACAAATTATTATGTTAGTGCACCATTGCCATTATATTAAATATTAATCATAAACATATTAATAAAAGGTTTTCATTATATCTCTTTGGTGTACACGTGGCTAAGATGCCATTTACTTTATGAGCCGGAGATCAGAGAAATCATGGCTGTTGGGAGAAAATGCTAATTTAGTGGATGTGCACAAAAAATATATTCATCAATTATGCTGGAATAGCATTACAGTTCTTTGCTCCCAGTGATTATCATGAGTAGGGTATTCTCCATGTAAGGATTGTGCACAACCAATGGCTGCACACCCATCCATATGAACATATGAATTAGGAGGAGTAGGCCATTCTGCCCCTCAAGCTTGCTTCACCAAACAAAAAGATCATGGCTGATTTGATTGTAACCTCAAATCTGCATTCCCGCTTATTCTCAATAACGTTCCATTCAATTGCTTAACACGAATCTGTCTACCTTTGCCTTAAAAATATTCAAGGTCTTGGCTTCCATCACCTTTTCAGGGAACGAGTTGCAAAGACTTATGATTCTTAGTGGAAAAAAATTGCTTGATCTGTTTTAGATGGATGACCCCTGATTCTTAAACAGCAACCCCAAGTTCTAGATTCTCCCAAAGAAGGAAACATTCTCTCTATGATGACTCAAATGTCATATGTTTCAATCAAGTCACCTTTTACTTTTCAAACACCAGTGGTACAAGCTTAGCCTGTCCAACATTTCCTGATAACACAATCCTCCAGGCAATAGTCTGGTAAACCTTCCCTGAACTGCATCCAATCTGCCTGCATCTTCATCTTCCTTAAATAAGGTGACTAATCCGATGGACAATACTCCAGATGTGGCTTCACCAGTGCCCTAAGTAACTGAAGCATAACTTCCCTACTTTTGTATTCAACTCCACTGTGGTAAATCATAAAGATTCTATGAGCTTTCCTAATTCCTTGTTCTAAAGGGTGATCTAGTCCAGATTTATATTTCGGGGAAGACAGTGATAATATGAGTTTCTGAACTAGTAATCAAAAGGCACAGGTTACTGCTCAGATATAGAATCAAATCACAGAAGGGCAACTAGTGGGGTGAAAATTCAATTAATAATATCTGGAATTGAAAGCTAGTCTCAGTAATGGCCAATGTGAAATCATCAACTTTTGTAAAAATCCATCACCTCGTTCATTAATCCCTTCCGGGAAGGAAATCTGCCAGCCCTAGCTGTGGGGTTGGAGTCACAGATATGTCCTTGACCCTTAAATGTCTGCTGGAACGGCTGAGTATTTGAGGATGGGCAACAGGAATGAAAATAACCTCCAATCTTACATTAGAGGCTTTAATGTCGTCAGGATGAAGGCTCGTAATCAACCTGAAACATTGGGTTGGATTTTGTTCCAGTGATGCAGTCTCCCGCATTAGATGGAGAACTAGCAGGAATGTCATTAGCAGGGAAGGTTTAATGTGATTGAGTATCCATCAGCCACTTTACTAGTGCCCTGAGGCTACATGTAGGGAAATCCAACATGGCTTGCTGGGTAACCCCTGGAAAACACACCCAGCCATACAACACCAATTAATTCCCTGAGTCAGCACCAAATTCAAGAAGGCTCAAGGGAAGTGGGCAGAATCTTGGTGAAGCACCAGGAACGTCTCCTGAAGAGTCACTTTTCAGGAAGGCCTGCCACTGCACAAGCCAACAGGCAGTAGCAAGGCCATCTGCAGGGGCTTCCCCTGGAGTTAAGACCCCAACAGTGGCTGTCTTGCCTGTTGAGAATTGCTGTCCAATCAGAGGCCAGCAGGCTCACTGCCACAGGGGAAGCCTTGGTTGCTGTTCGAAGGATAGACAACAGAGTCCAGGATCACAGAGTGACCCAGACCACAGGTAAGTCATTGCTGGGAAGTGGGTGTTGCAAGGAGAGGGAGTCAGGAGAATCATCTGCAAAGAACAGGTAGGGTGACCCTTAATAGGAGCCGCTACCTAAATGTACAGTCTCTCAATCAAACACTGAGGGCTCATGGCCCATATCAATATGTCCATCTGACACTGAGTTAATCTCAATTGGCGGTGGAGAAGAAATTTTAATTAAGGGCCTTCCCTCCCAGAACTTAATTTAGGTGGAAGCGAGGCAGGGGCAGGGTTGAGGCAAGCTACCATCCTGCCTAAGTAAATGCCTTTGCCACCTCTAAGCTCACCACCAGCAAAGAGAGCACAAGTCTATCCAGTGGTTTTAAGCAGTTCACTGATGACCTGGGTTTCCCTCATCAGACCCTTCCTTCTCATAACTTAACTGAAGACAGTTTTCACGATGTCTGGAATCTGTTGCAGATACTTCCAATTCTATCCTCCTGGCTTCTGTGATAATTCTCACACTAATAGGATTCATTGAATCTAGTCATTGGCTCTATTTCTCTCTCTACAGATTCTGTTTGAGCATTTCCAGCTTTTCCTGTTTTTATTGTAGATTTCCAGCATCTGCAGCATTTTGCTTTCGAACAAATACTCAATTTCGGATCTGATGAGCAGATTGTAAATCTATGCAAAATTTCTGCAGGTTTTATTATTCAGGCTTTGTATTCTGGCATTGTATTAGCTTCTAAATTGTATTGCCATATGGTCTAACGATTGAAAGTCACGATTCTGCTCTTATTCTATTTACATAACTTGCAGTGCTCCTTAAGCTAAACATTACACTGCATTTACATAGTCCCACTAATCTAATGAATCATCAGTGCTGCAGTGTAAAAGAGGAGTGGATATCAAGCATGAAGGAGGGATGGAGAGGTGACTAAGGTGTAGATAAAGAGGTACATTTTCAGAGAATTGGTAAAAGTAGGAAAATATATTAGAAGGTAGAGGGCTCAATCATGTTATGACTGAAGGATCACTCTGGCGCAAGTGTTGCACTGGATGTAAGAATCACAGAATGATAGTTAAAAAATAAGGCACATGAAGCAATTTAGTGCTCAAGAATACTGCAGATGTAGGGTGGGGCGAGGTCAAGGAGGGCACTGAAACTACTGTAGTGTGTTGGGGGCAGAGTTGAAAGTTGAATGAATGTCAGTGCAGGGTGGAATGTGGTTACCGGAGGAGTTAGAATCTGTCTAGGGTGGAATATGGGTCACCGTCAAGTAAAAAGTGAGAGAGATCAAGTCTGGAAATGATAAAACCACAAATGAAGATTTTGTCAAGTGTAGGTAAGTGGGGTTGGAGATGGACCATGGTAGAGGTTGAAGTAAGGTGTCTTTTGGATCGGGTATATGTTCTTGCATGGGTCAGAGGTTATTCATTGATCTCAAGGGAAAGGAATGCAGTCAGGTTCTAAGATACATATTTTCAGGTGAAGCTGAAAATGTGGGTGAGGGGGGAATGAAAAGATTGTTTCAGTTGCAGAAAGTTTGAGCTACACCAACCTCAATGGTGTTGACATGTATCTCTGCTGTGATTGAATCAGTTGATTAACTCTTGGTTCTGACAGGATGTCAAATCTACTTGAAGGGCCAATGTTCATTAATATGAAGACAGTTGGCCCTGGGTGAACATTAAGCACACTACTGCAGCCCCTTGGCTACAGGATACTTGAATACGCAGCAGATCAACTGATCTCCAAACTGGAAGACTGTATGTCCATGAGGGACCTCTGGGATTATTTGCTCTCTTAACATAATGGTGACAAGGGGGCAATAATTTCTTTCATATTAAACTAGTAAAGAACACTTGTTCTAAGAATAGTCTCTTATTCTTGTGCTCTAATACCCTTGCAATAAGGTCAACATGCCATTTGCCTTCCCAATTGCTTTCTGTGCAATACATGCGAAAATTTTATGTTTCTTGTAACAGTACACCCAAGTCTCTCTGAATGTCAATACTTACAAGATTCTCAACTTTAAGAAAATATTCTGACTTTCTGTTCTTAAAGTCAAACTGAATAACCGCACTCTTCCCTTCATTAACATTCTGGGGATTACCACTGACTAGGAACTGAACTGACCAGACATATAAATACTGTGGCTACAAAAATAGGTCAGAGACTAGGAATTCTAAGATCAGTGACTCATTACCTGAGTCGTCCACCACCCACCCATACCTGTTCACCATCTACAAGGACAAGATTCCAGTGTGATGGAATACTCTCCACTTGCCTGGATGGCTACAGATCCACAACATTCACGAAATTCACAACCATCCAGGACAAAGCAGCCAGCTTGACTGGCACTTCATGCACCACCTTCACCATTAACTCCCTTCACCTACAATATAGAGTGGCAGCAGTGTGCATGAGCTACAAGATGCATTACCCCTAACTTACCAAACTTCTTTTGACAGCACCTCCCAAATCCACAACCATTACCACCTTAAAAGACAATGGGAAGAGATGCATGGGAACACCATTGCAAACATGTTTCTCTTCAAGTCATATACCATCCTCAATTGGAAGTATATCACCATTTCTTCACCGTTAATGGTCAAAATCCTGGAACTTCCATTTTAACAGCAATCTTGATGCCTTACACCCAAAAGGTTGTAGCAATTATAGAAGACAGTTCACCACCACTTTTTCCAAGGCAATTAGAGATAGGTTAAAAATACTCAGCTAATCAGTGATGCCAAATCCCATGAACAAATAAAAACAACACTTCAGCTGCTACCATATTGCCCATTCAATTAATTTCTTTGTAGCCATAATGTGGTTTCCTCACATCTTGTATTCTCACCTGGCATTGTATGATCAGAAAACTTAGATTCATTTTTAAAATTTAACTGTTGCAAAAAAAAAAACTAAATGTATTTTAAAATTTCCTTACTTGGTACTGATGATTTCGCCTCAGATTGTTAGCTGCCCTCCTCTTGAAAAGAAGATAAAACATACAATTGAATAAATAAAGCAATATGCTGTGAAAATGCAAACAGTGTTTTACCACTTTGGTATCAAAATGCGACAAAATATGCAGGAAGAAAATAAATTACTTACCCCGAGAGAGCCAAGACTTTCAGGTTTCCTTCGCTTTTGTTTGCAGAGAATTTTAAAGCATAAATGTCTTCGCATCCATTTTATTAAATACCACACAGACTTTGGACTTGGAATAATGTTAAAAGGGGTTGGAAGAGTTCCACCTTCTTCAAAATAGCTCATCCACAGCTTTGTCCTTGCAAATTTCCACTCAATATCTGCATGGTCCTGAACAAATCAAACAAATTTCAATGGTCACATTTGTACCTGGTTCTGCTCGGATCTGCATGAATTGCAATCCTCCACTCAAATTTATATTTCATCATTTAAATATAAACAGGTGTTGAAACTGTCACTAAAGAAATAAATGTTCATTCAGCTCATGTTAATTATGTATTTTTAATTTTTTGTTGAATTTAATTTTCAATCATATTTTAAATCTATATGGTAACTCAATTTTGACATCTTCAGAACTGCAAATTCGAATTGGTTTAGCTTAAGCATAAATAAAATGTAAAGTACTGGAAATGTACACAGCATGGTCTATATATAAAACAGACACACAGGTCAATATTTTGGTTACTAGCAAAAATGATCAAGTGGGTCATATTGGAAATAGTCATTTCTCTTTTAAATAGCAATCTGCCCGAATGCACATTCTTATAGTTAATAAGTACTCCTTGGTTTATATGTAGTCTCTTGTATGAAACACGTCATCATTTTTAAACTAATTCTCTTTTTAACAGCAGAAGGTATTCAGGAAGAACTCACCGCAATAAGTTGGTAGGAATTGTTCATCATAGCTATCAGCATATTGAGCAAAACCACAAGCGAGATAACATTGTATGTTCCAAACATAGTGGCACCTACAAACTCCGTGAATTCATGACGAGCCTTCACATTTGTCACATATAGGTTAATAAGACCAAATATTGACCAAAACAGTGACTGAAGAGTTTCAAATAGCCTGCAAAGAAGAACCAGAACTTATGAGCATGACAGGTGCAGGAATAGCAGTAGGTCATTTAGCCCCTTGAGTCTATTCTGCAACTCATTAAAATCACGAGATAGTAGGAACTGCCAATGCTGGAGAATCTGAGATAACAAGGTGTAGAGCTGGATGAACACAGCAGACCAAGCAGCATCAGAGGAGCAGGAAAGCGGACGTTTC